AACTGATCTGTGATTTCATCATTTCTTTTGCCTAATCTCCCCTTTCATGTTTTACAGTAGCAAAGTTAACATATCTGCATTTCATTTTATCTTGGGTTATCTGTCCTCTGGGGACACTGAATGGTCTCAGAGCAGAGCAGTGGCCATGGTGGAGTTCAGAAGGCAGAGGACAGCAAAGGATGTGATTCCTGCTTCCCTAGCTTGGTTACCGGTCCTTAAAAATCACTGCCAAGCCACGACCTCTGTGTCGTTTTCATTTTGGAAAAGTTAGGTAACAAATTAATTCCATCCAATTTCTGATTAAATGCATTTCATTTTTCATTCTAGTTTAGTACAGGGATTCCTACTATAACTTGGAATTTTGTGCTTTTTCTGTTTCTTTTTGGTAAATAATTAGAAATATTACAAACACTGACCTTGTTACATGTCCTATAGAAACTCTTTCCTGGCTCCCTTCCTTCCTGTGTGGTTTGTGTGTGTGTGTGTGTGTGGGGGGGGTGTGTGTGTCACATTTATGTGCGTATGAGTGTATGTGGGCATATACTGGAGGGGGGGTGTGTGTCACATTTATGTGCGTATGAGTGTATGTGGGCATATACTGGAGGATGGTGTTGGTATCACTACTCAAGCATTGTCCACCCCCCATTTTTTTTCTAGAGACAAGGTGTTAGAACTTGCCAAGTAGGTTAGGCTGGCTGGCTCCTGGCCACCAGCACTGGGATAACAATGACACCTCATCAGGCCTTGCTTTGTTTTGAAAGTGGGTTCTGATAATTGAAATCATCACTTTACTGAGCCCCCAGCTTTAATTAATTAATTAATCAACCAATCAATTTAGAGACAGCTACTTTGTATCCCATGATGCCCTGGAACTCATGAGCTTCTCCCTCTACCTCCCAAGATGATCCTAGTGCCAAGATTACAGGTGCAAGTCACCACACCCAGTTAAGAGACATTTTCAAACACTCTGCATCACTCCCTAATTAAAAATAATGTTTATGAGGACTAAGTGTGTTCTGTCTGGTTCTTACAGTCAGGCAGCATTCAGCAGCATCCTTGCTGACATCATACAGCAGGACCAGCACAAAGAACAACAGCCAAGTTTTGTCCATTAAATCAGGTGACTTGAACAAATTTTGGTGAGCATTTTGCAAAAATACAATCTCTGCCTCATAAAAACCAGGTGTTACTCAATGAAGTGTTCCAGCTTACTCACATGAGCTGGTGGCTTTGTATGACCAGATTATTGCTGTGTCAGCTATTAGGAGCTAATAACACGCTCCCATCCTGTGTTTATGACGCACGGTGCCGAGAGCCTTCAAGTATAGACAGATGTTTAGTATAGACATCACTGCTTCCTCTTGGCTATTGATTGATTCCAGGATCCATTCCTGATTGGAATGCAAGGTGCTTGCTTTTACGTTTGGGATTTAGTTACCAGATCTTGTCAGAGAAAGACAAGCAACGAGCCAGGGATGTGGAGCACAATGCTAGGGCATCTTCGACATGTGTTTGGATCTGTTACCCCTGGCCCAGTTCCTGGTCTCAGTGACACTCTGTCCCTCTGCTTCTCATTCAAGGTTTGCTTAGTAGAGAGCTTGCAGCTGACCAAAGGAAGGCAAAGTGGGTTTAGCAGAAGTCTAGTTAGTGGTTATCAGAGAACATATGATTTTGTTGTTGTTCTGAGACTTGGACCCTCATGCCTGTAAGGTAAATAATCTACCAGTGGACTATGTCCCTGGCCCAAGCTTATCAGTTTGTTTTCTCTTTTTCTCTCTCTCTCTCTCTCTCTCTCTCTCTCTCTCTCTCTCTCTCTCCCTCTCTCTCTTTCTCTCTCTCCCTCCCTCCCTCTCTCTCTCTCTCCCTTCCTTCCTTCCTTCCTTCCTTCCTTCCTTTCTTTCTTTCTTTCTTTCTTTCTTTCTTTCTTTCTTTTCTGTATCAGTTGCTCTGATTGAACCCAGAATGAAATATACTCTCTCAGCCTCTGGGGCTTTTTTCTTAAATGGATGGCATGGCTGATGCAATGACTAACATAATTTTAATGGAATTGAGAGAAGAATTGAATTGTGATTTTCACTTCTGTCTGTGTTGATGTGTAGTGTGTGTATGTGTTCATTTTTGTACATGTGTATTAGAGTGCCCATGGAGGCCAGGGACTGACGTCACTTTTCACTTTATGTTTGGGTTTTGTTTTGAAGCAGGATTTCTCTTGTTATGAAGCCCTGGCTGTCCTGAAACTCTCTATGTCAACCAGGCTGGCCTTGGGCTCACCTGTCTTCACCTTGTGTTTTGAGGCAGAGGACTGTTATTGAACCTGCAGCTCATCGATTGAGCTAGGCTGGCTGGCCAGTGACTCTGTGGATTTGTCTGTCTCTGCTGCCTTGCCTCCAGCATGGGGGTTACAGATGGGAGGGCCACGGTGCCTAGTTCTACATGAGTACCCAGGATCTGAACTCAAGTCCTCATGCTTTCCTGACAGCTCCTTTACCGACTGAGCCATCTACTCAGTCATCTGAATTGTGTTTTCAAATAATGAAAATGACACGTGTGAACCTGGAATTTGTCCAGATAGCTCTGCCCTTATTTCCTAAAACAGTGGGCTTACAGCTCAGGAGGAAAGCTGGGTTTAAAACAATACTGTTTGATCCTTTTCTTTCTTCTTTACTTTTTTTTTTTTTGGTGTGTACATGGTGTGTGTGTGTGTGTGTGTGTGTGTGTGTGTGTGTGTGTGTACATGTTTGCTTCTTATTAAGGCACTTTCTTAGAAGCTGAAGTGGACCTGTAACTACTTTACTTCCCCTTAATTACAGGACCTGAACACTGATAGGTTAACAAATTACTATCTTGCGCCCCCTAGTGGAATTGTGACCCTACTTCAGAGTTTGAGAATACTGTCTTGTCTTAGCTTTGGAAATGAAGGGGTTTTCGGGTTTGTTTTCCAAGGCTTCGAAGAAAGGGACAGAGGGAGGGAGGGAAAAATACTGCACTGGCATGAAAGGACTGTGAGTAGGAAAAGGGGATTTCTGCTGAAGCTTTACTTTTTCATGTTTGCTGTGGAGCTCACAAGGGCCATTAAATACAAGGAGCCCTCTGCTCTGCTGTCCATATAGGCCAAGTGTTGTCATCCTGACAGTCAGTCACCTCTAAATGTGACAGGCCTCCCTTTCAGGAAAGATGGAATGGATGAAAGTTGAGGACAAGTCCCATCCAAATACATCCCACTTGTGCTACTGGGAAACAAGGCTGGGAAGTGTCCAGCTGTCTTCTGAGTCTACTAAGGGACTGCGCCAGTATTCACAGTCCATGGCAGCCATTGCCAGTCTATAGCTGCTAAGGTGCAAAGAAAATTCTAGTAATAGAAGTTGAAATGACTGCTCCATCTCTTAAAATTCTCCCTTTCCCCTGTTACTGTTTTTAACAATTTGACCCTTGTTATGGATGTGCTTGCTGAATTCTGTACAGCCCAGTCTTGTATTGCCTGTACTTGTATTGAGGTGTGCAGAATTTTAAAAGGAATATGGTAGTTTTTCTTCGTCTGCAGGGGATATATTCCTGGAAACCCAGTTAGTGCCTGAAACAGTGGACAGTACCACATCCACTATTATGCTTTTTAACCATGTATATACACCTTCTTATGATAACATTTGATTTACAGATTAACAGTAACAACCAGTAATCAAATAAAGTAGTTATACTGTAATAAAATTGCCATCACCACTTCTGTTGTGCTTTGGGGCCATTGAGAAGTAAGGGGTACTTGAGTACAGTGACAGTTGATCTTGTAGCTGCAGTGGCACCCGAGGGACTGATGGACACTTTTTCAGAGAGTGGGAGGTGTCTGTAAGTGGATTAACACGTGTCTCTAGGCATATGTGTCCAACATAGAGATGTTATGTGCACGGTGCATACATGTGCAGTTGCTCATGTATGGAAATGTATGTTCCACAGCAGCACCGGAGGACAAAAGTCTCAGCACTTCCTGTGGAAGCCAGGAGATCTGTGTCTGACCAAGTGTTATGAGGTAGCTCTCAGCAGAACCAGGCCCAGGGCCATTGGGAAGCTCGACACACCTCCATGTGCTTTGAGACTGTTCTGGCCTCCTTCCCTGGCAGCTGTGGCAGGGAGCCTCTCTTTGGGAACATTCCAATCATTACTTGGGAGCCTTGTCTCCCTTGAGGAGCACGAGGCCTTAATGAGTCCTACAGAAGATCTGTCTGCATTCCTTGTGCTCATGAGTGAGAGGCCCCATGCAGCTCACCGTGTCCCTGTGTGGTGACTGACCACTGGTGCAGTAATGCCTAGCTTGGGCTTGCACCTTAGAATCTGAACTTGACAGCTGTTGCGTGACCTCTGTTGATTTAACACGACACTCCTGCCAGGCTCTGCCTCTACATATTGCCTTATGGCTGTTGATTTTTTTTCCCCTTGAGATTCATTTAGGCAGAAATTCACCCAACAGTGTTTTGTTGAGAGCCCAGAAGACAGAGGAGTGTGAAAAGATGAGTGTGATCCTGCTGGAGACTTGGAAGGCAGCAGGAAGGAGAAGAGGCTCTCTGTCTCTGTCTCTGTAGTGCCACCAGCTATGACGGGACCAGTAGAAAACTTGCCATTTTTTTTTCCAGAACCATCTTTTTTTTTTTTCTGGTGTATAGTTGTTGACAAATTGAAAAGCTATCCCTACACCTTGGCATATAGTAGGACTGAGAGATGAGTGGGTAGGAAAGAGATGTTTGTTCATTTGCTGGAAGCTTTCATGACAGGGGGAGGAGTTATCCATGGACGGATTCATGGCATGTGGGAACAACCATGGGCAATTTGATACATTTTCAATGGGGTATCTCAGGGACTCTTAGTATATCTTACTGGTGATGTCTATATTGGTCTCCCAAACTAACACTAACCATCATTAAAGCTCACAAGAGAGTTGGATCTATCCTCAGTGGATAAATCACACTGTACAGTATGAGGACTGAGTTAGAATCCCCTTGTAAATACTGGGCATGGTAGCACGTGCCTATAATCCTGGAAGTTGGGTGAGGTGGGAAGCAGGAATGAAGGCATCCGAGAGAGCTTGTGGGCTGGCTAGTCCTCTCTGAGCATCTTTGAACAACGAAGAGAGGTTGTCTCAAACAAGGTGGAAGGAGAGGACCAGTACTTAAGGTTGTTTTCTGACCTACATATGTGTGCCTGTGCTCATGCTCATGCACGCATGCACACACATGGACATATACAAAGATTTTAAAAAATCCCAAATCTGTAAGAAAGCCTGGGCTACAGAACAATACCCTATCTCAAGAAAGCAAATCAAACAAACAAAAAGCCTATGACAAAGACAATAGGAAACAGAGAGAGAGGAAGAGGGAGAAGAGAGGAGACAAGGGCTTTGGGAAAAAATGACAACTCAGACTTCCAAATGAAAGGGGAGATGGAAGGAGAGAGAGAGTTATATGGTGACTTATTAAAAATCCAGGTTCATGGTCTCCTTCTATAGATAAACTCAAGCAGAATCCTCAGGAAAGGGACTCCAGGATCTTATTTTAATAAGCATCTTCGATGATTCTTATGCTGAGTCAAACTTGGGAAGTTGCCATCATCCAGTTGCCCATCAGGACTAAAATGTTTCCAAAAGTTGTAAGCAAATGCATATATGTAGTTGCCAAGGTTTGAAGTTTAGGGGGGAAAGGTTCAATGTTTCATATTGACACCATTAAACATTTCTTTTTTTTTGGTTTTTCGAGATGGGGGTTTCTCTGTGTAGCTTTGGAGCCTATCCTGGCACTCGCTCTGGAGACCAGGATGGCCTCGAACTCACAGAGATCTGTCTGCCTCTGCCTCCCGAGTGCTGGGATTAAAGGCATGCACCACCAACGCCCGGCAAACATTTTCTTTTCTTTTTTTTTTTTCCAACTTTTTTTTATTTGAATTAGAAACAGGATTGTGTTACATGACAATTCCATTTCCCTTCTCCCACCCGTCCTCCCCTACCCCCCCAACTAAAACCTTATTTGTCACATAT